CTTATATTCTAGGGATAGAGATAGACAATAAGGGCTGGGTGTGGCGGCTCATGCCTGTAATCCTAGCAATTTGGGATGCCAAGGTGGGCACATCACTTGAAGTCAGGGGTTCAAGACCAGCCTAGCCGACATGGTGAAACCCCGTCTCTACTAAAAATACGAAAATTAGCTGGGTGTGGGGGTGAGCGCCTGTAATCCCAGCTACTTGGGGAGGCTGAGGCAGGAGAATCACTTGAACCTGGGAGGGCGGAGGTTGCCATGAGCCAAGACCATGCCACTGCACTCCAACCTGGGCAACAGAGCAGGACTCTATCTCAAAAAAAAAAAAAAAAAAAAGTAAATAATTAGCTGGGCATAGTGGCACATGCCTGTAGTCCCAGCCACTTGGGAGGTTGAGGCGGGAGGATCACTTGAACCTCAGAGTTTGAGGTTGCAGTGAGCCATGATTACACCACTGCACTCCAGCCTGAGCAACACAGTAAGATCCTGTCTCAAAAAAAAAAAAGGGGGAGGGGATGGTAGCAGGATGGCAATGTGGGCTTAATGGAGGGGTTCTACAGAGATACCAGAGATACAGAGATGCCAGAACCAAGGAGGGCCTCACCCAGGGCTGCATATTCTCTGACAGAGGAAAGGGGGGACCCACAGACCAGCCAGACTCCACAAACAGCTCCCTTCCCTTCCCCCCACCAAATATCTCTATTATTCTGATTGTAAGAACAATATTGGTCCTTGAAAACAAAGTCAGTATGCAGAAAGGTAAAAAAGAAGAATTAGAAATTCTCTGAAACACTACTCTGAGAAATAACTGTTATCACTTTGGCATCCCTCTTCTAGATGGACTAGTGGTTGGCAAACTTATTCTATTTATAGGACCAAATAGTAACCATTTCAGGTTTGGTAGGCCATAGTCTTTGCTGCAACTCTGCCATAGAAACACAAAATTGTCTAGACAATACATTAACCAATGGGTACGGCTATTTCAACAAAATTTCATTTACAAAACAAGTAACAGGCTGTAGTCTGCCCAACCTATTTTTGTTGTTTGTTTGTTTGTTTGAAACAGTTTCACTCTGTTGTGCAGGCTGGAGTGTAGCAGTGCAATCTCGGCTCACTGTGACCTCCACCTCCCTAGCCAAGCGACCCTCCCACCTCAGCCTCCTAAGTAGCTGAGACTACAGGCGCAAACAACCACACCCAGATAGTTTTTGTATTTGTTACAGAGACAGGGTTTTGCCATGTTTCCCAGGCTGGTCTCGAACTCCCAACCTCAGGTGATCCACCCACCTCGGCCTGGGATAACAGGCGTGAGCCACCGCGCCCAGCCTTGTTTGTTTTTAGAGACAGGGTCTCACTCTGTTACCCAGGCTGTACCCTATTTTCTACACGTCTCTGTGTCTAAGCTCACCAAACCCATCCATACAGTGTTACCTAAAAGTACTCACGCATGCTCCCTGTACAGTTCCCATGAACTTAGTTCACCTGGCCTTTGGTGGGCCAAGGTATTGTTGAGCTCTGAAGACAGTTACAGCTGGGTACATGGCTGAGCTGGCCATGACTGGCAGAGGAGCAGCTCCAGGACCACTCTATTTTCCCAGGGCTTTCTGACCACCCAGGGCAGCCGGAACCTGCGGGCCGCCCGTGCCCTTGAGCACACATTTGCCCCTGTGACTGATGGGGCCATCTCCACATTGCTGGGTCTGCTCATGCTTGCTGGTTCCCACTTTGACTTCATTGTAAGGTAGGGAGGGCTCGGGGCGGGGAGGCAGGGCTCAGGGCAGGCCTGGGCTGACTCCCCCCGCCCCCAGGTACTTCTTTGCGGCGCTGACGGTGCTCACGCTCCTGGGCCTCCTCCATGGACTTGTGCTGCTGCCTGTGCTGCTGTCCATCCTGGGCCCGCCACCAGAGGTGACCACACCCTCGGCTCCATCCCTCTGCTCCCAGCCCAGGGGATGGGGTAGGGATAGGCAAGGGAAGGGACAGAGCCCTGTGGTCCACAGACAGGTACCTCCCCAACAGGTGCCACGAGCTGAAGGTGGCAGCCTCCTTCTTTCCCCAGACACCATATTCCTGCCTCTCAGCCCTCCTGGTTTCTTCATGGGACCCACCTTAGCCTTTTAGGGTCCAGAGCAAGGTGCAGAGTTTGCCCCAGACCTCAACATCCTGTTACTTGCCAGCTCTCATATCCTGCTGGAGACCAACAAGGACCCCAGCTTCCCAACAGTCATGGTGATCCCTAGGGAGATGCTGAAGGGGACGGGAGCCCCAGGGGCCCGTGGGCTTACTGTGGCTGGTGTCTCCCCACAGGTGATACAGATGTACAAGGAAAGCCCAGAGGTCCTGAGTCCACCAGTTCCACAGGGAGGTGGGCTTAGGTGGGGGGCATCCCCCTCCCTGCCCCAGAGCTTTGCCAGAGTGACTACCTCCATGACCGTGGCCATCCACCCACCCCCCCTGCCTGGTGCTTACGTCCATCCAGCCTCTGATGAGCATCCTTGGTCCCCTGCTGCCACCTCAGTTCCAGGGGACCAGGTCCAGCCACTGGGTGAAAAGAGCAGCTGAAGCACAGAGACCGTGTGTGGGCCACGTGGGGTCACTGGGAAGCACTGGGTCAGGTGCTAGACGCAGGATGGACCCCTGGAGGGCCCTGCTGCTGCTGCACCCCCTCTCCCGACCCAGCCATCATGGGCCTCCCTGATATCCATACAGAACAGCCAGCGCCTTGCACACCCAGGCCTGTGTGAGCCTATGTCTGTGTCACTTGAGAGTGAAAGCCAGCACTTCAGGCTGCAGTGCAGCCCTGTCCCCCTTCCCACCCCACGCCGCTGCCCGCTCAGCTGACCAAGCCTGAGACCCTCCAGCACCTTTCCTCAGTCCTGGCCCCACCGCCTGGTGACTCCTGGGCAGGCTCTTCATATCCCTGCCCACCTCCTACCACGTCCATTATTTATATGAAAATGTCTATTTTTGTAGTGTACATAGATGTTAGCTATGTTGAAAGTTTTATTTTTTAAAGAATGAAATATATTCTATGTGAACTCATCTCAAATGACTTCAGTGCTTTTTTTTTTTTTGGACAGAGTGGGGAGTTTGCAAGTGAACATTCGCTATTGGAAGGGGCTTTGGTGCCAGGACCTGAGGTATTAGCTTCTCTAGTTCTGGGTGGAAAAGACCCCAGATTCTGGATTTTTGTCATATACTTGGTAACATCATCTGGATTAAGTGCTTAGTATACAAAACAATAACAAATTTTGTTGGTGTGAAATCCTACTGGGTTCAATCTGGAGACCGGGAGCAGAAAAAAAAAAAAAAGCCCCACCGTGTGGCTTTCCAAGCCACCATATTCCAGCCCGCCCACCTCTCCAGACTCACCTCCACCTACCTGCTTCACCCGCACGGGAAATGGCAAGACGAGAGGCAAGGCCATGCAGCAGCCGGAAGGTGAGGTGGAGGCAGGTCAGGAAAGCGGTCAGTTGAAGCAGAGAGAAGGCAACAGGGTCTGGGGAGCTTCTCCGGAGGTTTGTGGACCGAGGGAAAGGAGCCAGTTCCCAGAGCAACCTCCAAGGCAAAGGCCTCTGCAAGTTGGTGGTTGGCCTGACAGTCGAGAGGCATCTTTGGCCAGTCAGCCAGTGGATCAGTTGCAGGAACTGCCAGAAACGAAAGTGCTAGCGGCTAGTGAGGAAACAATTTAAGCTGTTTGTTCTGTGAAGGTTGAACAGCCCCACTGAGCACAGGCCTTGAAGAGTGGCCACAGCCCTGGAATAGAGCACAGAGCCTCACCCAGAGGCGTGCGGAGGTTTGCGACTGCCCTTTCCCAGCCATAGCTTAGGACCCATAGTCTAGTTCGCATAGACCCTGGGCTCCAATCACCCACTCACCAGGAATGATGCCACCCCACCAACAATGCCTTCTCACATCCCACCCCACCTGGGCAAAGGCCAGGAAATCATGTTCTGAGCAAAAGATACAAAAAAACAAACAAACAAAAGGAAACGCCTATTGCAATTAAATTCACACCAATATGTCTAAAAAGCTCGAGAAGTGGGTAGTTGGCAGAGAACCTAAAGTAGGGGGTGCAACCAGCAGGCCCAAGGGAGGGAAGCTGGATTTGGGTCCAGCAGTGTTTGGGTCACCAAGGAGGGCCTTCTAGGTGGAGCAGAGAGAGCTCACCAGGTTAGAATAGTGCAAAGGGGGTCAGCCCTATGTGCCACTTACCAGCGGAGTAACCCTGGGCAAGTTAGCCAGCCTCACTAAGCCTCCTCATCTTCATCTTCCCAGGCCCGAGGAGATCTAGCCTGTACCTCCCACCCCAGTACCCCTTCATCAGACACACGGAGCGCCACTGTCTGGACAGGCTGAACTGGTCTTCGGGTCCATAATTTCTCATACGCCATTCCCTCTGCCTAGAACACTTTCCCACATCCCCTGGCTGTGACTCCATATCACCCTTCGAGGTGAATTGGATCGGATGCCATCTCCTCCAGGAGAGGTAATGTCGTGCCTCCTGTGAGTTCCCACTGCCCCTGAGTGTCTGTGCCCGTCTGTTTCCCCGTCCCTCTCCCTAAGCCCGGAGGCTTAATGCGGGTAAGGATGGCGGGACAGGACCTTAACCCCTGGGACAAACACCAGCTCCGCAAAGGACTCGGCACCCACGGGGTGCGGGTCCCAGGAAAACTAGCAGACAGGAGAATGGGAGAGCAAAGGAGACCAGTGATCCACGGGTCCCCGGAGTCCCGCCCCGGGGACCCAGCCCCGGCGGCGCGGAACAGCCCGGAGCCGCCTGTGATTTGCATACCCATGGTGCACCACGAAAAGATACACTCACGATGCTTGCACTCCCTCCGTGCGGGCGTTTCTGCACTATTTTAGGGCATGATGCCTCTTACAGCATCTTTGTGCATAAACTACATGCAGGGAGTGCGTACCACGCAAGCACCCAACAACCATAAGTGAGTTAAGTGTTAGCTCTCCCCGGGAGGTTCGAAGCCAAACTTACTACTATACTCTGGTTTCTCTTCAAGTCGCACAAATCTTTCGCCTTTTACTAAAGATTTCCGTGGAGAGGAAACAACTCTGAGTCCTTAAAAATTTTTTGAGGTCTCGTATTTCACGAGACTAAGCTGTGAGTGTTGAAAGTTAGATTATTGTTATTAACTTGATAAAGTCTCATTTTTTACCACCTATCCGAAAGATTTCTCGAGTGTGGTAATGCACGTCTGTAATCTCAGTTGCTCAAGAAGTGCACGTCTGTTTAACCTCAGTTGTTCAAGAAGCTACTGCAGTAGAGTCTCTTGAATGCTGGAACGGAGCTTGCGGTGATCAGAGATCGTACCACTTGCACTTGCACTCCAGCCAGGGCGACAGAGACTCCGTCTCAAGTAAAAGGAGATAAAGAAACAGTGGAAGGCACTTTCAAGTCGTCCGGTCATTAATTAAGCCTTAGTGTGGCTAGAGGTTCAGGAACGGTATATCTCGCCAACCAAACTCCTTGTTCTATCCCCAGAGATAGGAGCTGGTTTGGTGTGACTCTTCCAGACTGATTTTTTTTCCCCAACTCGACTGCGAATCCAAACAGTTTATGTGGTGAAGATACAAGGTTCCTTCTTCTACGAAGCTTTTTTTGTTTTGTTTTGTTTTGTGAGATAGAGTCTCTGTCACCCAGGCTGGAGTGCAGTGGCACAATCTCAGCTTACTACAACCTCCGCCTCACGGATTCAAGCGATTCTCCTGCCTCAGCCTCCTGAGTACCTGGGACTACAGGCGTGCACCACCACACCCAACTAATGTTTATATTTTTAGTAGAGACAGTGTTTCACCATTTTGGCCAGGCTGGTCTCAAACTCCTGACCTCGGGTAATCCGCCCGCCTCGGCCTTCCAAAGTGTTGAGATTACAGGCATAAGCTAACACGCCCGGCCCCTATGGAGCTTTTCTAATGGAACCAAACACAAAACAAATTGAATAAATAACATAAATCCCAGATGAATAATATCTCAGTGAGAAGTGCCCTGTAGAAAGAGAATTTTGATAGAATGGTCTACCTCCTTCCTATTCCCTCTCCATAAGGGAGCTCATCGACTTCCATGGCTTTAAGTAAATGCCATCTGATAGCTAGTGACCCCCTAGTTTACAGCCATCAGCTGGTCCTGTTGACTCCCTTCCATCAGCTGGTCCTCTTCAAGGCGTATGTTTCATCCAACCACATTTTACCACCTCCACTGCTGCCATCCTGGTCCAAGATCTCTTGCTGGATAATTGCAATAGCCCCTAACCATTCTCCCTAGACCACTCTTCTACCTCGCTCTTGCCCTTCTCTATCCCAGTCCTCCACAGAACAGCCAAACTTTTTTTTTTTTTTTTTTTCTGACATGGTCTTGCTGGAGTGCAGTGGCATAATATCAGTTCACTGCAACCTCCACCTCCCAGATTCAAGCAATTCTCCCACCTCAGCCTCCCAAGTAGCTGGGACTGCAGGCGCACGCCACCACACTGGCTAATTTTTGTATTTTTTGTAGAGACGGGATTTCGCCATGTTGCCCAAGCTGGTATCGAACTCCCAGACTCAAGTGATTCGCCCACCTCACCCTCCCAAAGTGCTGGGATTACAGGCAGGAGCCACCATGCCCAGCCCAAATTATTCTTTTAAAGTAAATCTGATCACACATCACTGTCCTGCACAAAACCCTCCAATGCCTTTCCCCATGACACATGACTCCCTGCAGATCTCTCGTCAAATGTTATCTCCTCAGAGGTCTACAATCACTGCCCTGTACAAAATAGCCCCACTCCCACCACATAGCTATTTTTTTAACCAAAACAGGTGCTTTTCTTCATAGCACAAACTACTCCCTGAATAGATCATACATTTCTTTGTTTACTGCATGTTTCTCCTCTTAGAATGTTAGCTCCATGAGGCAAAGACTTGACTTGTTCTCTGATGTATTTATTCCATGACCCTAAATCAATGTCTAGTGTGTGGGCACTCAGTGAATAGTTAGGGAACAAATGAATGAATATGTTTCTAAACACATATACAGAATTTAATCTTTAACACTACAATTCTAAGTATTTTATAAAATTAATTTCATCTTCCTAAAAACTCCACTAAATAGGTTCCATTACCTCCATTTTATAAATAAGGAAACTGAGGCAAAGAAAGGTTAATCACAAAGACAATATGTGGCGGAGCTGGGATTCATAGGCAAGCATTCTGGCTCCAGGAGACACGCTCTTAATCACTATGCTACCTTTTTTCTTTTAACAAGAGGAATCATGCTGTAATTGGTCTATTCTGTGCTTTTTTTCACCAAAGATCATGGATTTTTAAAATATTATAGGAATATACCATAGTTAATATTACCAGTCCTCTGGTAATGGACATATAGATGATTTTCAATTTCTACTATCCAACCAATGCTGTCATGACATGGTACTATAAGCACATTTTCTGTCTTGAGAGATAATGCTAAATAACTATTTTTAATCCCTATGCAATATATACACACACACGTGTGTGTGTATATATATATTTTTGAGTGTGTGTGTGTGTATATATATATATATATATTTTTTTTTTTTTTTTTTTGAGACGGAGTCTCACTCTGTTGCCCAGGCTGAGTGCAGTGGCACAATCTCAGCTCACTGCAACCTCCGCCTCCCAGATTCAAGCAATTCTTGTGCCTCAGCCTCCCAAGTAGCTGGAATTACAGGCATGTGCCACCACACCTGGCTAGTTTTTTGTATTTTAGAGACAGGGTTTTGCCATGTTGCCCAGGCTGATCCCAAACTCCTGAGCTCAGGCGATCCACCCACCTCGGCCTCCCAAAGTTCTAGGATTACAGGTGCCAGCCACAGTGCCTGGCCTCCTCCTGTACAGCATATTTTCATATGAAGTCCCTGGGACAGAAATCTAACTTTATTTTCTTCTAAATAGTCAACTGTCTCTCATTTTAGATTGATAGTATCTTGCTTTGCAGCACCTTTAAAACTCTTTATGGAATAAAGTGGCATTTAAATGAGGAAATAGGCTGGGTGTGGTGGTGCTTCATGTAATCCCAGCACTTTGGGAGGACAGAGTGGGACGACTGCTTGAGCCCAGGAGTTTGAGACCAGCCTGGACAACATAGGGAGACCTCATCTCTACAAAAAGAAAAAAAAAAAAAAATTAGCCGAATGTGATCGAACATGCCTGTAGTCCCAGCTGTTAGGCAGGCTGAAGTGGGAGGATCGCTTGAGCCGGGGAGGCTGAGGCTGCAGTGAGCTGAGATCGCACCACTGCACTCTAGCCTGGGTGAGAATAAGGTTGTATCGTAAATAAATAAATAAATAAATAAATAAAGTCATTTACTTAACATTTACATAACACTGATTATCTGACAGAGACTGAGGAAGCAGAAACCAGTAAGACACCACTCCAGGCCCCAGGGATCTTTCTTGAGGGAGATTCACATCCTCGGGAAAACAAGATGTATGGTGAATGAAGGAGGTGGCAGAGGGGTCTGCAGTGACTGAGTAAGTATGGAGCTAGAGGACTAATACCTCCAGGATAAGTGAATTTATGCAAAGATCGTATTTGAGAGAAGAGGTGAGGAACCACTCACTAGTAGTTTTGAGTGCCCTGAAAGTGAAATAGATTGAATTTTGTCCTGGAGGTCAATGGGATGTTCCAGGACTTAAGTCCCATAGGACTGACAATCAAAGACCGGTCTGGTTGCACTGTGGGAAATGGATTGAGGGGGCGCTGGAGTGAAGGCAGGAAGGCTGTGAGATGTGTCAGACAGGAAAGGTTGAACCTGGGGCTGTGAGAACTGAACCAACTGGAAAGGTCTCCTACAAGGTAAAAGAGACCTAAGGCAGGTGTGAGGAAGAGGGATAAGGCAAGGATGAGATCCAGATTTCTGGCGTGTGCACCCACAGAAATGAGAAACACGATGAGGGAAAGCTGGGGAGATCAATTTCACACTGAGCCTGTGGTGTCTGAGGGGCATTCAGGGAGCGATCTCCAGGGGGGCAGGAATGTAATGAAAGGAGCTGAACCCGGGCGCGGTGGCTCACACCTGTAATCCTAGCACTTTGGGAGGCTGAGGCCAGCGGATCACATGAAGTCAGGAGTTCCAGACCAGCTGGCCAACATGGTGAAACCCCGTCTCTACTAAAAATACAAAAATCAGCGGGGTGTGGTGGTGCATGTCTGTAATCCCAGCTACTCAGGAGGCTGAGGCACAAGAATCGCTTGAATCAGGGAGGCAGAGGCTGAAGTGAGCCGAAATCGCACCACTACACTCCAGCATCGGCAACAGAGCAAGACTATCTCAAAAAAAAAAAAAAAAAGAAAAAAGAAAGAAAGAGAGAGCGAGCGAGAAAGAAAAAGACAAAGACAGAGAGAGAGAGAGAGAAAAGAAAGGAAGGAAGGAAGGAAGGAGTTGAGCTGAACAGATAGATATGTGGGAGTCATCAGAATAGACTAGTAGACGACAATGCCCCCAGGCGCAGGGCGTAGAGTGAGGGCGTGGAGCGACGGAAATCCTCGTTTTCGAGTTTCGCCCACGCAGGGAGGCCCAGCCCAAGCCCTGCCCGACCCGGCCCCGACCCACCTCGCCCACTCGGGTTTGACCCCACACAAGAGGCTGCGCGTGGCAGACAACGGTTCTTCCGGCGCCCGGCTTACTGGGCACGCTGGGAACGGAAGCCCGCTCCGAACGCCGAGCACTTCGGGAGCTGTAGTTTGGGGCAGGCTCAACTGGGCGGGTCCAAGGCTCCCCGTGAGTCCCGGCGTTGGATCATTTAAAGGATAGGTCCAGAAAGCGGTGATGCTCCCGGGGCAGGGTGCCTCTCCGGCGGCGACACGGGGCGCCCCGGGCCTCATCCCCTCTCCGCAGGGCATGGCATTTCCACGCCTCCACAATCTGCTCCGCCTGCAGAGCAAGGCCAGTCAGTGCGCAGTCCCGCGGTGGCCCCTCGCCCCGAGGGCCGTGGCCGGGCCGCTCCTGCCCCCCCCCCCCAGCGCCCTGTACCCCCTGCTGAGTGGAGCTGGGCCGGTTCCCCGCGTCCGCACCGGGATGAGTGGTTCCTGCCGGTTCTGCTCTTCCAGGGCGCTCAGCTCCGCCGGGGCCAGCAAGGCTAGTCTCAGCTCTTTCACCACCGGGGCCGCCACCTCGGCCACCGGCCTCTCCAGCACCGCCTGCGAACGCCAGCCCTGAGTCGGGCACCTGTCCTGCCACCCGCTCGCTGGGCTTGTGGCCCGCACCTCCTTCTGTGCCCTTGCGCTCCCCCAGCCCCACTCACCGCGCCCACGCGCGCCCAACTCCGGGCCGCGCGGACCAGTTCAGCCTCGTCCACGCAGAGCTTGTCGCTGCGGAGCAGGGGCAGCAGCGCGGCCGCTGACAGCTCCAGGAAGCCTTGGGACCTGAGGGCCTCCTGCAAGCCGGCAAATGGGTCAGGGAGGAGCAGAACGCGGTGCGTGGGGTGAGGAGTATGAAGGGAGCAGTACCTGGCTGTGGGCCTCTATGAAAGCCACGCAGCGCTCCTGCAGCGGCCCCAGACCGAAGGTTACGGCCACCTGCGAGCACAATGAGGGAGATCAGGTTGGAGACTGGAGAGGCTGCGTAGCCCAACCTGTTCACTGGGACCCACCACTGCAAGCCTGACCCTAGCCCTAGCTGGGGAGGCTGACAGGGCCCTCGGCCTTGCAGGAAACTAGACCCAGTGAAAGCCTGGTATACACACACACACACACGCACACACACACGTGGACTCACTGTACAACCTGCTCTTCCCTACAGGAGACTACGCCATGGCCTTCAAACCCCACCTGGGGCCTAGGCTTGGCTTTTCTTTTTTTTTTTTTTTTTGAGACAGAGTCTCGCTCTGTCGCCCAGGCTGGAGTGTGCAGTGGCGCGATCTCGGCTCACTGCAACCTCTGCCTCCCGGGTTCAAGCAATTCTCCTGCCTCAGCCTCCAGAGTAGCTGGGAGCATGCCACCACACCCGGCTAATCTTTTGTATATTTAATAGAGATGGGGTTTCACCGTTTTAGCCAGGATGGTCTCAATCTTCTGACCTCTTGATCCGCCCGCCTTGGCCTCCCAAAGTGCTGGGATTACAGGTGTGAGCCATCGTGCCTGACCCAACTTGGCTTCTAAAGTCTACAGCCACCCTTCCCCCTACCTCAAGTCCAGCTGAGAACCATTCCCCAGCCCTGATAGAGAGAAGACCAGCAAAGACCTCTAGCCCCTTCAACACCTGCTCCTACACCTGACCCTGCTGATATACCCAGGATCCCACATATCTAGGCACAGAATTCATCCTGTAAACCTCCTTGGAACACCGCCACCACCACCATGTACCCAAGTTATTTCAAGGCCAGACACAGCAGGCCCAGGCTCCCAGCACCTGGGAGCCCATTTCCACACACACAGCCAGACTCCTCCCATGCCTGTCCAGCAGCACCCACCTGCAGGGCCTCACAAACCAACTCCACATCCAGCACCTTCACCACAAACTGCAGGCACAGCTGGGAACAGAAATGAATGTGGGTTGTGTGGCGGTGTGCCTGCTCCAAGACACTAGTTCCACCCCAGAAGCAGTGAGCAGGCTTGGATTGGTGAGTCACCTAGCAGCCCTAGACCCCATCCTGACCTCCCAGGCCAAAGGAGGCAGGGAATTGCTAGAGCCTGAGACAGCAGGCTCACAGGAACTGGAGACTAGCAAAACCAAGCCCAGCCACCCACCTTCTAGCACATTTGCCACTAAGCAAGACCAGATAAAAGCCATGCAAAATTCTCTCCTTCTTTCAGGATGCTTATCTTCCTCCACTCGTTCCCTTCCTGACTCAAGGATACTTCTATTTTTAGCAGAAACTTGAATTTCATCCGTGACATCTCTCATCTCTTGACTGCTACACTCGCCTCCTGAATGGACTAGTGAGTCCTCTCCACCTCTTCCAATCCCTTCTCCCCTGAGCTTCCAATTCTTCACTCCCTTATCGGAAACTTTCAGTGAATCTCCACTGCCCTCTGCTTAAAAGAAGTCCAAAAGCTTGAGGGCCCTACATGAATCAGGCCCTGGCGTCCTCTGCAGTCTCATCTTGCCCTCTCCTCACAGTCCAGACACACCAAATGTCTCACTGGCTCCTTTGGTGCCTCTGTGACTAGAATGCCATCTTCCCACTTCCCCTAGGAACAAAATCCTATTTGTTCTACCAGATCCGACACATACGTTTCCTTCTCCAGGAAGTCTTCTCCTCTCCCTAGTGGTGGGACTGGAGAGGTCCCCCATACAGTCTTGGCACCATTCACACTTCTCTGTCACTTTATTAATTTATTTATTTATTTTTGAGAGCAACTCTCGATCTGTCACCCAGGCTGGAATGCAGTAGTGCGATCTCAGCTCACTGCAACCTCTGCCTCCCAGGTTCAAGCGATTCTTGTGCCTCAGCCTCCCAAGTGGCTGGAATTACAGGTGTATGCCACCACACCTGGCTAATTTTTGTGCCTTTAGTAGAGACGGGGTGTCACCATGTTGCCCAGGCTGGTCTGGAGCTTCTGGGCTCAAGCGATCCACCCGCTTCAGCCTCCCAAAGTGCTGGGATTACAGGCATGAGCCACTGCGCCCAGCCTCTATCACACTTCTTATGCCACCCAGATAAGTGTTTTCATGTGTCTGTCTCCTCTCCCTCTCTGGAGAATAGGGATCAAGGCTGACATCTTTGTACCTACAGCACCAGCCATAATCACCCCCTCTTGGCCACAGCACACACAGGGCAGGCATGCATGGATCCTTTTGCACACAGGCACACATACATGCCCTACTTACACGGGAGAGACATACATACTTCTCTCTGTGTGGGCACACGTTCCTCTCCAGGCCAGAGTGTGTGTGAGGCAGGGCGGGAAGTGAGCCGGTGAGAAGCAAGGGAAATGAGACATGGACCTGGCACACAAACCCACCTCTCTCAGTTCCTCCAGCCCATATTCCACAGCCGCTGTCAGCACTTCTAGCACCTGTAGAGTGGGTGGTGGGGGGAGTGGAAGGGAGTTTCCCCTGCCCTCTGCCCACAGTGTAATGGGCAAACTCTTGCCTCTGGCACCCCCCGCCTGTCCCACCCAGGACCCTGGTCAGCGGGCTCACAGAGTGACGGTGAAGCTTGACACTGTTGGTATATAGGAACTCCAGCACTGCCAGGAAGGCCTCAGTTGGCACAGTGCTTAGCACCACAGGACTAGGCACCCCGGGGCCTGGCTCTGTGCCCAGAAGTCGCTGGAAGAAGTTGCATCTACAGGCCAACAAGCACCGATGGGCAAATACCTCCTGCCGTTCTTGACCAACCACGAAGCAAACATCACTGTGGGAGAGAGGCAGAGAGCCAGCGGAGAGGAGGCCAGCACCTGGAGTGCAACTTGGGCTATGCCTTTGCCCACTCTGGGTCTTAGTTTCCTATCCAGAATGTAAGAGACAGGGCTTGGTCCCTCCAGCAGAAGGTCTGGGACCCAAAGCCCTGAGTTCTAGTCCCAGCTCCACCTGGTGACTTCCTATCTTTGAATCTCAGGTTTCTCACCCATGAAATGGGACAATAATCCTAAACCTCAGGTCGCAGAGGAGGTGACTATGTTTGATTACTGAGGGGCATCTGAACGAACAGAAGCACGGTTGATCCCACCTTCCCCTCTCCTCCCCAGCCTGAGTCTTGGGGGAAGGGAAGCTGCTTTTGGCTCCTCCTCCACCAGCTGCAAACTCAGCTTTTTTCAGGCCTCCTCCAGACAGGCGGGTGTGGGGGTGTGGGGCACAGAGTGTGCACTGACTGCAAACAGACACAGCAGTGATGCACCATCATGAGCCAGACCACAGTTTCCATCTTCATGATCACTTCCGGCCCCAGCTCTGGGCCTCTAAACAAAGCAGGGGATAGGAGGCAGATGAGGCTGGAGCCTCCTAGAGCCTCTTAGTCCCAGGTCCAAAGCCTGGGGGTTCACATTACCCAGACCAGACTGTGACCCCAAAGAAGCAGGGTGATGGAAGTCACCACCCTTTGGGGAAGAGGTCAGATCTGAGACCATGAGGACAGAGAGCTTCATTCTAGCTCTCCTGAGCAGTCCGGCCTCCTGTAAACTCTACCCCTGGTTTCAGACACCACCGGCATCCTGGCCAGCAGGGAGCAGCCAGCACTCCCGAGGCTTCCTGTCAGGGACTATGGCTCAATTCCTCGAGCTCTGTTCTTCTTGTGAAGCCTCAGTTCCCAGAACAGGTCATCTGTTCCTTTTCTTCGAGCAGGGAGGCCTCAACACCAAGCTGAGTGAGTGGAGGGAGGAGGGGAATCATAACCCACCATCTCTCGGGATCCCAGGGGCTGAGAATCATTCTCTTCTGCCAGGAGCCCAAAGTCCAAAGAAGGAAGGGCTTTGCCTGAGCTCACACAGCAGCTCCAGGCTCTAGCCCCCAGGACCCTGCCAGCCTTGCCTCTGGCCCTCAGGGTCTCACAGACACTGAGTGACCAGCAGCCATGTTCCACATTTGACCTCCCCACAGCATGAGTTCACCAGGGAGGATGGCCAAGTTCTAATTCCCAGCCTCTTCTCACCAGGGCCTCCTTAGAGTCCTGGGGCCCTCAGAGCCAGCTAAGGAAAACCCGCAGGCAGGGCCCACCCCTCACCTGTATCGTGGGTTGTTGACGAGGCTTCGGAGTGCTTCGGAAAATGGTTCAGCTTTCCCATGCACGACCAGTCCCAGGGGCTCCATGGGTGAGAAGGGGTGGAGGTGGAGGAGGGAGCCTGGGAGGCCTGGCCAGGTCCTAGAGCTGGTGAGGCTAGCAAGGCCCGAGAGGGAGAAGCAGGGACTCGGGAGGCCTGTTTGCTGAGAAGCTGAAGTTTAGGAGTGGAGCAGGAGGGGCCCAAGCTACTGAAGGCATCAGGGGCCAGAGGCTCAGGGACAGGAACAGACACAGGGAGGGGACCGGGAGAAGCTGAGGCTGGAGTGGCCTATGGGCCTGGGAAGAGGCTGGCTGGCTGGCGGCGGCGTAAGAGGCCCTGGCTGGGAGTCTGCCCAGGCAGCCACCGGGTGGGAAGCCTGTGGGTTTCCATGGAAACTGGAGCTGGCCTGAGAAGAGACTCCACCCATCTCCCGGGCAGGCCCAGGGAAAACTTCAGTCCTTAGAGAGGCACTAAGCGCGGTATGAGGGTCTTAGCCCCCGAAGCCAAGCCTGCCCTAGGTTCAGAGTTCAAACTCCTTACCCTTGTAACCCTTCCCTCCTCCACAGGCACACAGGGTCAGGATCTGCTTAGCCAGGCCTGGGAATCCCCCACTCAACAGGGAAAATCCTCACCCCTATAGATGGGTCAGGGCCCAGACCTGGCTTGTTTGGGAGGGGACAGTCCCGTCCCTGCCAGAGGGGGAGTCACATGAGTTGTCAGCTCTGGCAGAGGTGTCACAGCCTCTGGGGAAATCTAGGTACTAGGGCACACAAGAGGCGTAGCCAGCTAGGGACAAGCCCCAGGACACTTGGGTCAGCAAGGGTCACGAGGCTGGACTCGGTGTTCACCGCCGAGTCACTGCCACTTTGTAAGGCCTGGTTCCTATCAGCTGAGCTAATGGACCTCCCCTCCTCCGCACATAGCCCTGAACTGAGGAAGTCATCCAAGCCCCACCCTAACTGTGCGCCGGGAGCGGAAATGTTTGTCCGTGTTGAGGCTGACTGACGGGGAGACAACAGAGCCATGACGTGTTCCTTCCTGTGGGCCCAGACCCTGGATTCCTGAGCCACCACCCCCGCATCCTCAAGATCTCCCCCTGTCCTAGGCCTCTGTGACTTGTTCATAATGGCCAGTCTCCACAAGGGGAGAAAACGGGCCCTGGCTCAAGCGCCCTGGGGTAGGACGAAGCCTTTCTGACCATAGCCTTGCTCTACATCTGCCCCTCTGTCGCCTGCGCTTAGGAAGTTTGCCTCTGAGCTGCAAGACCCTGTCGGCCACTCTCCCTGATGACCCCACGCACAGCACATGCTCACAGTAACAGGTCTCTCAGGTTAAGCCAGAGCTGGACTGGAGGGAGGGATCCTTGGAGAGAGGAGTGTTTGCTCCAGCAACCCATGGCAACTCCACAACACAGGTCCTTCCCCTCCCACTTGCCCTTCAGGCCAGTGGGGCCAGGGCCGTGGAGCCTGACAGAACTCAGAAGCCAAAGCCTGCAGGTGACTCAGGTGCCTGAGGGAGTTTCGGGAGCAGAGGGCGGCCATCCCAGAACTGATTCTGGAGGAAGTGGGATCAGAGGCCAAAGGCAGAAGGTGGAAGGGGCTTCACAAGTCGTCTGCCCTCAGCCTGGGCCAGGTGTAGGGGAGATCTTTGTGCCAGCCACCCTAGAGTAGATCTGGATGGAAGATGACTAGATTCAACACCCCAGGGCTGGAAGGATCTGTGGGGTTGAAAGAGGTGATCTGTCAGTCTTTCCTGGTTAGGGGTTGGAGGCACTGCCTCCATGGTCCAGGCTGAGGCAGAGGCCTGCTTCTCCTTCCAGAGAAGTAGGGTGGCAGGGAGAAATGGCAGTCTCTAAGACTCTGAGCGTACCTGGCTAACCTCCATAGTGCCCAGAGAAGATGCTCAGCAGGCAGGACTAGCCCAGGATCCCAGTCCCAGCAGCCTCCTGTCCCTTGCTCATGTGTCTAACAACCTTTAACCTTCTCAGCACCTAGGAACCCAGGCAGCCTGGGACTATCTGATCCACTTGTTCTAAAACACAGGTAAGAAGGGAGTAGAAGGTAAAAACCCTTGACATCACTGAGCAAGAGGCTGGGGTGGGTAGACAGACGCCCAGTGAAGGCCACCCTGAGTGTGGGTCCTCTAGCCAGCAGGTCCATGGCCAGCAGTCCTCTGCCCCCAGGATGCCAGGAGGAGGAGAATGCCAAAGACTACGGGCCGAAACCCTCACCAGTGCGGCCCCGAGGCCGCCTGCCCAGCATTGATGAGGCGCGACCGGCAGGTCCAGGTCCTGGCCCGGCCTCTCGCCGGGGCTCCATGCTGGGCCTGGCCACGTCCTTCTCCCGTCGCAACTCGCTGGCCGGGCCAGGCGCGGGTCCTGGGGGTCGGCGGCCATCCCTGGGCCCGGTGCCCCCTCTGGGCTCACGGGTCAGCTTCTCAGGGTTGCCTCTGGCGCCCGCCCGTCGGGTGACGCCCTCCTACCGCACGGAGCCAGTGCCCGGGGAGCGCTGGGAGGCTGCGCGCGCACAGCGTGCCCTGGAGGTGGCACTGTCCGCAGGGCTGCGCGACGCGTGCTACTCCAGCGCCGAGGCCGCGCGGCTGGTGCAGGAGCTCTGCGAGCAGGTGCACGTTCGCCTGCGCGAGCTCAGCCCGCCGCGCTACAAGCTGGTGTGCAGCGTGGTGCTGGGGCCGCGCGCGGGCCAGGGCATTCATGTGGTCAGCCGCGCGCTCTGGGACGTGGCGCGCGATGGGCTGGCCTCGGTCTCTTATACCAACACCTCGCTCTTCGCGGTGGCCACGGTCCACGGGCTCTACTGTGAGTGAGGGGGAATCTAATTCTGCAAAATTGTTTATTATCCTAGGAGGAGGCCCCCCTGGGGCTCACATCCCAATAAATAAGTGTCTGACAATAAATAAAAGTGGTCCATAAATAACGCCCCCTAGCTGGGAGCTAAGGCTCAGGCTTATCTTGGAGAGGGGGCAGGAGCCAGCGAAGACAAGCCGCCCCCAACTCCAGTAAAGCTGGTCCCTGATTCCCTGGGGGATTCGGCCCAAAGTCCCCAGTGAGGCACCAAAGGAAGGGGGAGGGCCACAAAGGCAAGGGCCAGAGCCTTACAGGCACAGGCCTCAGGCCTCAGGGCTTGAGTCCTAGGCTGGGCTGCGGTCCCGGAGCAGGCGCAGAGCATAGCGGAGTCGCTGCCGCAGGTCTGGAGAGCAGCCCAGCTGCCGAAGGTGGGAAGCGAGGTAAGTATAAGCACTACGATTTCGGGCTACAAAAGTCACAAGGAGGGGCTCCCAGCCACTGAGAATCAGCTTGGTGTGATCCCCGTAGAAGTTCACCTGCACACAGGAGCATGACAGTGGTCAGGACCTAGGCTCCGGACCCAGCTTCCTCCCCAGCACCCTGGGCCTCCCAGACCTTCCCTGAAACTCCTGGATAGGCTCTTACCTGGACAGTGCCATCACTAAACAGCATGAGGAGAGCCTGATCCGTCTTGACCCACTGCAGCAGCAAGGGTGGAGCAGGTACCTCTACCTCGTCCACACTGGGCAGATCTCCACCCTGGGAGCAGGATCGGAGCAGGTCACTGATCCAGCGTGAGACAGCCCCCTCCCCATTACTGTATGCCTTTAGTGTATGCCTCTAGCTTGGAGCACCCCCACCACCACCAAGGGGGAATCAGAGAGCTCAGGATGGGTTAGTTTTCAATGTACCACAGCCCCAGCCCTCACACCTTCATGAGGTGCTGCTCCATGTAGGAGGTGAAGTACCGCAGGATACCCAGCTGAGGCTGCAGGGCCCGGGGCACAGCACCCACGGAGAAGGAGAAGTGCTTTGTGCTGGTGGGGTTGTAGTGCACAGTCCTAGAATGGGGAGGCAGAGGTCAGAGGGAGCCCTACACCGATGCCCCTCCCCTGAGAAACCCAGACCCCTGAGCCCAGGAGCACACAGGAGGGTGCGGCCCTGCTGGGTTAGTGGCCTGAATACAAGGCACCCCATAACAGCACTTACTTTCTGTTGGCTGACAGGGCCATATGTGTGCCATCGTTGAAGAGCACAGCCACACGGCGGCTGGACAGTTGATACCCAAAGCCAAACTTATTGGAGTAGTCAACCCACTTGCTGACCCACACCAGAGGCTCTGGCTGGGCCAGCGGGGCCGGGTTCTGTTCCGCTGTCATGGGAAAGGAGGGAGTCAGGACCTGCTCCTGGCTCCCAGGAGCAGAACTCCCAGCCACAGAACTCCCACCACAGCAGCATGTACCAGACCCCAGCCTTACCTGGGGGCATGAAGGCCACACAGTTTCTCAGCGCACAGAGGGCTGACTCCACTACTGTGGCCACAGTCAGACCTTCTTCAAATCCTGAAGAAGACAGGGCACAGAGATTTAGGAATTAGCACCCCAGGACCCAGGCCAGGCCCCTCTGCCCACTCCTTCCCTCTGGTCCCTGATCTCAGCTCCAGCAACCTCTGGCACCTCTCATCCTCCCTGGCTCCTCACCATCTCCACTGCTTGCCAGTGTCCCACGGGGTGAGCTGTCCTCAGGTGCTGTCTCTACCAGGCTGACAGGGGCTGGGCCAGAAGCTGCTGGAGCCTGGAGGGTTGGGCAGGGAAAGGGAGTGAGACAGGCCCCAAAATCCAAACCCTTGAGTCCATGGCCTGGCCCTGCCCTGCCTCCCAGGGCACCCCAGGTCAGCCCTGCCAGGCTGGTGACACACAGCCAATTAGGCCACCACAAGGTTGGATGCTTCAGCAGCCTTTTATCCTGGGCTTCCCTCAGCTGCTAGGGTGGGGGTGAGTCAGGGGAACAGTGTCCACGTGAGCGCCTCACCTCTGGCCTGGCATCCTGATGGCCAACCGACGTGCGCATGAGGCCGCTTACCAAACAGGAGACCTCGTCCCTCTCCTGGGCATGATTCTTACCTGGAGGTGAAGGATGATACCATCCTCAGTATCCTGCCCAGTCCCTCCACTTCCCACAGGGATGACACAGAGACTGGCCTCCCCAAGTGCCTGTACTGCACATGCTCTCCCCAGGCATTGCCAGGCACCCACACTCACACACCCGAGACAAATGTGACAAGCTGCTCTGCTGCTCTGCCCCCTCAACCCACTGACACCCCAGACTCACTCTTGTTCTTCTTTCTGCCAAAGAGGCTCTTGGTAACTTTGGCAAACAGACTCCTAGCCGGGTTGGGGGGTGTCAGGTCTGGGACTGTCACACAGCTGCTGATAGGGAGTCGATCGGGGGTGTAGCCCTAGGGAGGGGAGCCGTGTGAACAGAGAAGAGGGGCTCCAGGGGCCCTGTCACCTGCACCCTTTCAATCCCTGGGAATACGCAGAGGGACTTAGAGGTCTGGGGAGCCACAGACCTTGGTAAAGAAGTCATGGCGCAGGATCTGGTCAATAGAGGGGCGGTCTCGGGGTGAGGCCCGAAGGATGGCAGCCAGGAGCTGCCGAGCAGGCAGTGAGAGGCTGGCAGGCAGCGTGTAGTGAACCTGCTTGATGCAGCGGTACGTCTCCTTCAGGTCAGCCGTCTCAAAGGGAGGGCTCCCGCAGAGCAGCGTGTACCTATAGGGCAGGGCCAAGGGGTCAGGAGTAAAGTGGAGGGGATACCCCACCCACACACCCACCACCTGTCTGCTGCCGAACCTGGACCCTGCGACTCACATGACACAGCCCAGTGACCATACATCCGCCTCGGGCCCATGGCCCTGTCTCAGTAGTACTTCGGGAGCCACATAGTTAGGGGTGCCACAGATGGTCCTGAAAGAGGGTGGGGAGGAGGAGAAAAGGCTGAGACCCAGCCCAGCAGCCCCCCCACCCCTTCCCCCACTGTGAGTCCAGACAAAGCAGCTGCCTGTCACCAAAGGCCAGAGAACTCCTGCTTGTCCTGGGACAATGGATGCCAGGGATGGCAGCTGAGTCCCCGCCTACCCGCCTAGCCCAGCTGCTCAGCTGCTCTTCATGACAGGGGGAGGGCCTGACCCCCAGCCCAGTCCCCTCCTCCAGGGTCAACACAGAGAGTCCACAGCTGATCCCTTCCCCCTTCCTGCACTCCTATCTGTCAGACAGTCATCAGGCTGTCACCTCCCATGGTTTGTGCCACACACACACCAACACCAGCTGTCACAACCCCCATAAACACTTATCTGCCACATATGCTGTCTGTGTCACACACACAAAGTACGATGGCCACAGCAGGGTCTTCTTACACCCAGTGTCATATCCTACCATTCCCACACTCTCAGTCTGTCTCTCACACACACACACATGCTGCCTGTAACCTTCCCCCATCCACATGAAGGGTAAGTCATATGCCTCCAAGAATCTGTACACCCCCATCTGTCTCAGGGACTCAGGGTCACTTACCCTATCTGTGTCACACACCTATACACACCCCTCTCCACTGGTCCCGGTAACACAGGCTGCCACCTCCACCTTCACACATGCATAAACAGCCCCTCGTCCCTTCCCATTTATCTCATGCACACATCAAGCAGTCACCTTGCCTCCCACATACATATGCACTGTCTGTCACGCATGTCATCTGTATCACACACAGGCTCCTTTCCTCAAAACTCACTTCTTCCTCTGCTCCGGAGGCTCCAACCGGGCTGCCAGCCCAAAATCCCCCACCTTCAGTTCCATGTTCTCAGTGACGAAAAAATTTCCTAGATGGGGAAAGAGAGGTGTGTCAGATTCTTTCCTTCCTTCCTCCCTCCCTCCCCAACCTCCCATCCTCCAGGCTCAGGAGTCTCACCCAACTTGAGGTCCCGGTGCAAGATGCCGCGCTGGTGCAAGTACTTGAGGCCGGAAAGGATCTGCCGCAGGTAGTAGCGCACTTCTGGCTCCAACAGGGTGTGCCGGGCCTTCCAGATGTGGGCCAGGGACTGCAAAGAGCCACTGCCTCAGCCCCTGGTGAGCCCTCCCTCCCCCTCCCCCTCCATCTGTGCTCCCTGAGGAAGAAACAGGGCCGGAGCTTTGAGTCTTAAGACTCTCTTCTCTCCCTCACCCTCATCCCTGCGGATATCACCATCTTTCACCTTTCGACTGCAGAGCTCCAGGAAAATGTAGATGTTGTCAGCGTCCTCAAAGTGGTGCGAAAAACGCACGATGTGGCGGTGCTGCAGGTCTCGGTGCAGCTCAATCTCA